AAAAAAAAAATAAAAAAATTATAAATTAAAATATTGCTAGTTTTAACAAAACAAATTTGTATTTTTTTTATCTATGTATATATTTTATTGATTTTACCCTTAATAAAAAATATTTTATCAGAGTATTTATTTAATAGAATTCTAGTTTTTGCATAATGCATAATGTGCACACGTGATTACGAGGCAACCTGCTTACTTTATAAATCTTGTATTCGAACGTATCGCGATACCAACCCAAATTACTGCAATTCACAAATTTTAGCATAGCGATTCTAGTACTTTTCTTGTTACAGAGTTTTTCACCAAGGTGTCAAAAAAGTAAAATCTATCAGTGTATATCTCTAACGTTGACCTCTAGGGTTAGACAATATACTGATAATTTTTTTTTTTTAATCTAGATTGAGGACAGTTTTAACTTAAAGAAGTTAGCTCACCGTTTTTTGCAACATTAGCAACGCTGCAGTACGAAGAGAGCTTCACCACTGCTCTCTGATAATTATCTCTGGTTAAAATGTGACTCAGTTGAGTTCATCTTGCATCATGGCAATAAAAAACCATAATTGCCTTATCTCCATACGCAAATGTGTCGCACGCAAATACATAAATTTCTAGTTTAGTAGATTGATCCGTTTTATTGGCAATGAACAAAAATAGCTTTATTTGCAATAACATTTAGATCATCAGTTTTTCGAACCTTTTTTGGGAGGTTTTTGGTTGCAGAAAAATATGAAGAACACAGATTCTTAAATATTTTAAAAATAGTATATCCCCATTTGGAACACATGATAAATATTCTTTAAAAAATCACCACTAAATATCTCTTTTTTATGAAATTGAAATTATGAAATAAATGAAAAAAATTTAAAAGTTTACCTTAATTATTTAAAAAAAATATAATGTTTATTTATATTTTTAAGTAGGTGATTCATGTATTAAGATCATTGATAAGTTTACTCGTACTAAATTTGGGTTAGTGTTTGTTGATAAGAAAGATAAACCAGCAGAAATCCTTTGAAAATAAAACTGATTTGTGATAATCAAGTGCGGAAACAGGAAGACAATAATTTTCAATATTTTTAGTGCATTTTTATTTATTTTCCTACCAAGTTATGCTGGCAAAACGTAAACAATAGATCATTCAACCGTTGGTGCACCTGAATATTATATACAGGTGTTCCGGTCTAAAGGAAAAATTACTTCCTACATAAAAGACAACAAACGCATCGATATTTGTCCTTTCCGGTGATTTTCTTCCTACACGAATCAAATTTTAATTTCTACTTACCATTGAAGACTTTGGTAACGGTTAATTACAATATAATTATAGTTATACTTCCGCTGAAGTGAATTGTTTTCATCAATTGGAAATTGATAATTTTAAAAAGGTGCTCATATTGTGTATAATTATCATTAACCTTCACAGTTATTTAAGCGGAAAACAATTTTTTAGACAATATGGATCTACATTGTGTGATTGTATAATAATATTGGATAATAATAGATACAAAGTTCACAAATAACTTGACCGTTGCAAGGTCTTTGTAAATTGTAGTTTGATATAAAATAAAACGTTTGTTAAATTTACAATTATTTTGGTTCAAAGTAAATTTATTCGTCGGGTTTATATTTAACTAAGTGCACGCAAATATGCATAATTAACTCGGAAATCACACTACATTTTCGTATTTTCTTAATTGTATAGAAAAAAAAACAGATGTAGTCAGTCAGTTGTTGAAATAAATTGTACTTCATTGGTTTTATTCATGTTATTACAATTGTTAATAAACTAGTGTATACAATGCAAAATAATAGTAGTAAAATCACCGAATAGAACATTACGAACTACCTATTTGATGCACAACAATTTCTTTCACAAAGATTTAAAATAGACATCCGTTAAAAATGATTTCAAAGTATGTAATTTTTTTATATAAACATGCCTTAGAACATTTTTTTAAGACCGTTCATTCTATTTTTGTCAGAAATTTATTTACAAAAAATTACAAGAAATAATCTTTATTATTACATCGCCTCAAAATTTTTCGTCCATCTATCGCATGTCGCATTACAGCCGGCCGCGGAGTGGGGGTAAAATGAAAGGCGCTCGGCAGAGCAGCCAAGGCCCGCATCAGCTGACCGTGTAGCATTTATATTCTTACTCATTCGTGCTCCGCGGTATTTGTATGTTTTGATCCAAAAAAAAGTTTCACTTGCATCGTGGTTTCTTTAAACTTTAAATTCGCCTTGGTGTATTTCTATAGAAACGGTTAAAGTGTTTTTTTTGTAACCGAAGTTGAAATACTTCAAGTCCTAGGAGTTGAAATGTCCACGGAGGTGGCTCGACCGGGTTAAATATGAGGTTATTTTAAGCATTTCACACGGTGAAATTACCAATTATTTAATAATTAAATTATCTCCATTAAAAAAAAAACTCGAGAAATGCGAAAAACAAAATTATTACCCAATATTTAACTGGTAACACGAGTCGCCCATGTGCATGAATGACAGGTGTCAAAATAAAAAATTCCAAGAAAAAGTCAGCATAACTTAAAAATTATTAAATTTAGGTATAGGGAATGTTAGTTAATACAGATCGATGCAGAATTAAATTCTCTTCCATAGTAAAATAAAAATTGGGGTATTTCATTTGGAAAATTTGAGTTTTGGGTATTTGAATTATTACAAAAGTAACCTTATATTTTAGGGTTTGTTAATTTTTTTTCAAAATTTGAAAACACCAGAAGAAAGATCTAAACTTTCTCTTTTAAACGCCAAAAAAACGAATTCAAAATTTAAAAAAATGGCAGAGTTACCGATTTTTAAAGTGGAAGGTGCAGATTCAAAAATTTTTTAAAAATTGCAAATATTTAAAAAACGGGTAAATTTGGGTATAGGGAAAGCTGATGAAAACTCCCTTAAAATAACCCGATTAATCCAAAAACGCCGTAAAAAACGCAGTAAAAAACTCCCAATACTTTTAATGTAGGGTTTAGAAGGAACACCCTGTATATTCATTCAGAATAGAGGATCTTTTTTCGCCCAATTATCACTCCTATGCTTAATCTAGTTTTTCCATACAGAGTTTGTATAGCATAATTAATTATGATCGAGAATTTTTTTGAAAAAAATTGATTTATTTCAAAAAACATTTTCCAATGACAAATTCACAGAATTTTAGGCTTTGAAGCTTAGATTTCACAGCTACCCACTAGAAAAAATTCGTAATTATTTTTTTCCAATTAAGAATCCAATTTTATATACCATGCGTTATATTTCTGATTTAAGGGTCCGGTTACTTTAATTTTTTATTTTTTTTATGTTAATGAATTGTGCTCGTTTTGTACTAATTAATGTTTTTTTTTTTCAGTTGTGCTCTTTTCCAAATAAACAAAAAACGTTTCAATCCGGGGGCTAAGTTGACGGTAAGCCCCCGAAATTTTCAATCTATTTTAAATATAAAATAAGCATCGTTTTGTGCTCACTTAAACTCGTGCTAATTTCGAAATTGAATCCATTTTTGTTGTTTATTTAGAAAAGAGCACAAATGATAAAAACCTTAGCACAATTGAGCACAAAACGGACACAAATGGATTATTTAAAAAAAATTCTAAAATTCGAAATAAAACACTCAATTCATCCGCAAATTAGACATTGAATTCATAAAATATATTTTTTTAATAAATTAAAAATGAGCACAATTGAAATTAGCACCAGTTTAAGTGAGCCCAGAACACGAATTGAAATTTTCGGGGGCTCACAGTCAAATTAGCCCCCGGATTTGAATCAGTTTTTTGTTTATTTGTAAAAGAGCACAAAACGAGCACATTTCATTAACATAAAAAAAAATTAAAATTAAAGTCGGGGGCTAACTTGACTGACCTTTGAAATTAAATTGTCAACAGTGAAAATGCAGCTAGACAACTTAATTTTTTATCTTCAATTTCTGTATTATTCAACGTTAACACAGGTCATAAGACAGAGCATTTAAAATTAAATAATGAGTTTCCATTGAAATAAAAAAAAATACATGATGAGAACCTAAATCAGGTTTCATCTACTTTTGTCCATTGAAAATTTCATAACCTTGATTGGGTCTTAAAGTAAAATCGTTTTCATAAGACCTACTAAAAATTTTATGACACATTATAAGGGATTAACCAAACAATGGCTTGAATTTTTAACCCTCCATAAATGGCACATGGGCTCCACTAATTTATGATTTGTTTACTCTCTGGTTTACTTTTAACAATACCGCATTTAACTTAAAAGTAATAAAATTTTTAGTAGGTCTTAGGAAAACGATTTTACTATACATGACAGTTATAAAATTGGTCCCAGATTTTGTAACAAAGCTTCAACTTGAGTCCATTGGGACGGTTAAAATATTTTCATTAATTTGCCTTTTTGTACTTACATGTATATGATCGACAATTAAGTTTGATTTTTGGTTTAGAATGTAATCTTTGTCAAAAAAGTCAAAAAAAATTTGAAAATTTTAGAAAACTTCGGCGAAAAATCACACTTATTTAAACAGACAGCTTTAATTAATGAAAATGTGTTGAAAAAAAATATTTACCCTGAGATAGGCGAGTGGGTCTGGATATTTTCTTTGCAGAAGTAAGAAAAAATTTGTTCTAGCTGTCTTAGTTTCTGTGTAATACATTTTTAAAAAGTGCATGTTTTCATCAAAAAAAATGTCTTATTTCTAAAACTAAGCAAAATCGACTAATAAAAGTTTAGCGTAAAAATATTGTTTTAAAAGGCTACATCGCAAAGAAACATACGGTTTTTCATTWAAAAAAATAATTTTAGTATATTCTATCAATGTATACAATTTTTTTAAAATCTCATCATTTTTAAAGGTCACTTTTTCAACTCGCTGGGACCCCTGTATTTTAATGAATTCGCAAAAGTCATCAGATGAATTTATGTAATATTATTCAATGAATTCATCACATCTCAGCTAACTTTCATTACTCGGAACTCTGCTAATGCATAATTCGCTGTGATTATGCACACTATGCATCCTCTTTGAATGTTATTTTGCTAAATACTGGATGTATGGATGCATAAACTGTGATAGTAAAGTTCGAGTATGAGTTCCACACAAGTGGTTTTAACAAGAGACAATTCGAATTAATTTAATCGAGAGAGCGTCTGGATGTTACATCATCGTCGTTAACTACCATCTGTTCTCTTTTCTCACCATATTCAAACTATTAGGGTGGTTGATACACTACAAGTCCCATTATCTACAAAATTGTTCCCTATCGTGTGATTTTTTATCTCTTTCAACATTTACTTTTATTCTTTGATATTTTATCAAAAATTATATTAAATTATTTTAGACGTATAAATAGGTTGTACACAATTACACACACAGGGTGAATATAAAGTATGGAATCAAGCCGTTTTTCTATCATTTGCCTCCAGAAAATAATAATTAATATAATAATTAATATCAAAAATGTGATCGTATTTTGAGAACAAACTTTTGTTTTGTTTTTGAGTTATGCGATCTTTTTTGTCAAAATTGCTTCTTAAGTAAAACATTTTTCTGAGAAAATTAAATATAAAGTAGATAATTGTAATCCTTAGATCATAATCATCATAAGAAAAATAGCGTTATAGTGGGTAGCCATTTCAAAAATTAAAAAATTTTTAGAATCAAAAACTAAAGAAAATTACATAGAATTTTATTCTCGATAAAACACACATTTTTATAGTACTTTGTCATTCATCAATTAGTTTTTCCAAAAAAATTAATAGTTTCTTGTTTCGTTTTTGAATTATGCGTTTTTTTTTTTTAAATGGCAGCTTACTTGAATTGATAAATTCCAATCCTTAAATTATAGCCTCTGCAAAAAAAGTTTTTATAATAGATTGAAGAAGAAAAATTTTGCAAAACTTAAAAATAAAAAACAAAATTGAAAAATTATATTCTTGAAAAACGACCACCTTTTTATAGTACTTTATCATTCATCAATTAGTTTTTTCAAAAAATTAATAATTTAACCAAAAAACATTTGGTTTCATACTTTTTATTCACCTGGTATAATTAAATCGCCTAACAGCTTTATGACATATTGTTAAGAAAGCACAGGGAAAAAAATTATGAAAATTTTACCTATAATTGTGTAATAATGGGTGTTTAAAGTTTGTACACTTCACCCAATTATTGTTACAGGCGATTTTGCAAATTAATTTTTGAAATTAAAACAGTACCGAAAACAAGGACAGAAAGAAAATTTATAAAAGGTTTCAAAAAACTAAACAAAAATCTTTTTATTTAGGAACAGAATAACACAAGTTTTTCAGCTCTTAAAAAAATGAGCAAAATATTTAATATTTATCAATATAGTTTACTTACACTAAAATAAAAAAATACAGTTGGTCCGAGTTTTATCGGACACTCTGTATGTGTGAATTAACAAAAGCAAACAAACACAGATTTTACGGTTCTTAGAAGCACAGAAATAAATCAAAATACACACAATGTGTACAGTATGCCGACTTTTGAAGTCAGTCAGGGTCGTCATCTTAGCTGACTCACCCTATATTTAGTAAACAAAACTGTAACAAACGTGTCATCACTCATGTCAAAACAGTTGAATAAAAAATCTATCACGTTGTTACCTCCTGTTCTGGCATTAGAAAAATTGTTTTTAGGGTTCGTATTATTATGTGATCCATATGTGGACATGCATATACAAGTTACAAAACAGATACATCCGCCTCAGTAATGAAATAATGATTAACGGAAGTAAATAATGAAACAAAAAAGTGCGTTCAATTAAATTTTTAATCAGTGTTCTATGACTTTAAGTTGGCAATATTGACTACCAAATTTACGTCACAATTCTATAATAGTCAATTGTCATTTCTTGCTGGCAGTGTTGCCAATAGAATTTTCTGGTTTGTTTTTACATTATTCAATGAGAAAAACGCATGGTGTATATTTTTCTCCATTGTTTCTCTTTATCACTCCTATTTATGTAAGTATTATGCCTCATTATTTATTTAATGTCTTTCCTGTAAGTGGAACATCGCCGACAGTAAATTACCTACGTCGCTACTTAATTTTAATTATTTTTAAATGACCAAAGCGAGTAATATCTCTTGTGAAGTCCATGAAAATGAATGAAATGAAAGAAGGCGGATTAAAAATCAAAAATCTCTAAGTACACGTTTTTATTTTAAATTAAAATAAGAGATCCTAATTAAACATTAAAATACAAATTAACTCACAAAAGTAACAAAAAATAAAATAGATTTTTAATACTTTTTATTGTTACAAATTTAAACAGGAGATGAATATTCATTTTTAAAACAAAAATTTTCTATGAACATATATCGAAAAATGCTACGCAAGGGGTGCGTCTTTTGATAGGTTTTTTTTTCAATATTTCCGAAATCATTTTAGAAAAAAAAATTCCAAATTTGGTACAGATGATAACTTTTATACACCTAAACAAGTACAAAAATAAAATGTAAAAATTTTTAATTAGGGGCTTCCTAAACTAGATGGGTTTGGGTAAAAAATTATTCTATTTTGCCTGTGGTTTCTTGCCACTTTCAACAACAAAATTTCATAGTATTTCATAAAAAAGGTCTTTTGTGTTTTTCCGATACAATTTACGGATTTTTAGTAAAAATCGGTTTAAAAATTTATGTTACAGACCATAAACAGCATAAAAATTAAAAATTAAATTTGTTTTACCGTTTAGGACGCCCCTGATTAAAAATTTTGTTATTTGGCATTTGGTTAGGTGTACATATAAAGATACCAAATTTTGTAATTTTATCTATTCTGAAATATTAGGAAACACCCTTTAAAAAACGTACCTTTTTTAGGAGGTGTAGCTCCCTTTCATAGCATTTTTCAAAATACTTTTGTCTTAAATTTAAATATTCTATCTCTTTAAATTTGTACCTAACAATAAAAATGAAACACTGTATAATTAACACATGAAAAATTAATCCACAAAAATTTAAAATTGACTCACTACAGGAATTATTTTGAAATTACGAAAATGAAGTTGGAATTAAGTTGAAATTACAGGAATTAATTTGAAATTATAGGAATTATTTTGGGATTACAAAAATTAAGTTAAAAATAAGTTAGAATTACAGGAATTTATTTAAAAACGATAGAATTAATGTGGATTATGTATTAGATTTATTGGAATTTCGATGTTTCTTTAAAAACTGAAATTATTTGTTAATTACTGGATTTTTTCTGCAATTACTGGAACTCTTTTTGTAATTATCCGAGATTTCTTTTCAAAATTACGTTAAATTTCTTAGAACTATCGAAGATAATTTGGAATTACAGGAATTATTTTGGAATTACGAACATTAAGTTGGTTTACAGACCATAAACAGCATAAAAATTAAAAATTAAATTTGTTTTACCGTTTAGGACGCCCCTGATTAAAAATTTTGTTATTTGGCATTTGGTTAGGTGTACATATAAAGATACCAAATTTTGTAATTTTATCTATTCTGAAATATTAGGAAACACCCTTTAAAAAACCTACCTTTTTTAGGGGGTGTAGCTCCCTTTCATAGCATTTTTCGAAACACTTTTGTGTTTCTATCAAGTATTTAAATTTGTACCTAACAATAAAAATGAAACACTGTGTAATTAACACTTGAAAAATTAATTCACAAAAATTTAAAATTAACTCACTAAAATAACAAAAAAACTAAATTTTTAACACTTATAACTGAACCCCCTAATCCCCCCCTTGGGTACGGCCCTGCCCTCTATTGAACTGTCGACAAAATATTGCTGTAAAATAACACTTATGTCAACGGAAACGAATGTTTGTGCATATTTCATGAATTCCCAAGTTACGAAAAGCATTTTATAAAACACAGCGGAAATGTTACAGTGTGAAATTTAGTGGTCATCTGATAAAGATAAATATTTTATTTAGTCACTCCGTATTCAAAACTTGTTTACAAACCAAAGCACGTTTTGCAACAAAAAGCTGTGACTTTCTTTATTATTTGCATGTTAAAAAAAGAAAAAAAAATTGTTTGGATTATTTTGTGAAATAAATTATGCATCCTCTCTGATTGTTTAGTATTACCTCATTGGTTATAATAAACATTCCAGAGGCTCAGAAATATTATCAAATGATAAACAAACGAAAACACACCTAAAAAACTCGTGAAGACAAGAATAAATTTTTGTTTGTATACAAGTGAAGTAAAACATTAAACGATCTTGAATTCTACACGATTTTGTTACGTCAGACATTAAAAATGTTATAAATACATAAACATTATAATGTCAAGTAATAGACATGAAAATGATGAAAACGTAATGAATTAAACGTTTTTTCTAAATTAGGAAAAAATTCAACAGCAGGAAAATTCCAAGTTTAACTAGTTTTGCGACTGATCGGAGAAGTAATAAATTCATTAATTGACTATTACAAATATCCTCGGGCATCATAACAAAATTGTTAATTTTTGCATAAATTTGAATTTTAAATAGCACTTGCAAGTACACATTCACGATATTGATCCGCACTCTATAATTTTTTATTTAAAAGAGTAATTAAAAAAAAAATCAAGAATGTGAACGTATGTCTGCATCGAATGGTACGTTTAATAAAATGTCAAAACATTAATGCTTACGACAAAAAGTGTTCAAAAATTGGTAAATTGTATAACCGACGAGGATTAATGCTACTATTCAGAAAATTTTAACAACACTCTTAAATTTTGGGACCAGCTGTATATTACAAATATTTGGATTAGATTTAGATTTGGACCAATGGATAATTTAACTGTACGAATATCACACCAGAGTGGCAACTGTTACGTAAATTATCATAAAATCAATAGGTTTTGTAATTCCAATTTCCTAATCAGTAAAATAACAAAATACAATAGTGGTACTCTGAATAGTTAGTAATAAAATATAACATAAACAAACTGATTTTTAGAAACAAATTCAAGTTAAGTTAACTAAGTTAAAAAATCTGAAAGTGGGAAAAGTGTTGCTTTTTTTTTAACCTAAAAAATTGTAATACTAACTCACTTCTGCTATATCTTTGTAAGGCTCGAATTATATGCAAAATGCATATTTGTTATTAACAGATATATCAACAAAGTTATAAATTTTCTATGCATATCTAATATTTTGCATATTTTGGCAACTTCGTGCATATTTTAAGAAATTTGCATATTTGTGCATATTTTCTTCAAATCACAAATTTCTGATTAAAAATTTCAGTTCAAGTTAAAAATTAGACAGTTTAAGAAAAAAGATCCGATTACAAAATATGTTAAAGAAAAAACAACCGGTAATTCCTTTTTGAATTTGTTTTATACAGGCTGAATATAAAGTATAGAACTAAGCGGTTTTTTTTTAAATCATTTGCCTCTAGAAAATAATACGTAATATAAATTAAAGTAATATAAAAATGTGATCTTATTTTGAGAAAAAGAAAATTGACTTGTTTTTGAGTTATGCATTTTTTTTGTCAAAATGGCAATATATGTAAAAATATACTAAAAAAAATGAATATAAACTAGATGGTTGTAATTTTTAGATCCAAACCTTAATGAAAAAAATGTTTTTTTAGTGGGTTGTCATTTAAAAAAATATATTTTTGTAGAACTTAAAAACAAGAAGATTTTGAAAAAAATCATTTTTGATAAAACATACATTTTTATAGTACTTTATCATTCATTAATTAGTTCTTCCAAAAAATAAATAGTTTAAGTAAAAAACGTTTGGTTCCATACTTTTGAATTTTAGCAAAATATTTTAAAGTAATGTGATCTGAAAAGTAGAGATTTCTTAGAAAATGTTAATTACTAGGTTATTAAAATGGCTTCTCCAAAGCAAAACCAATTTATTTATTCTCTTTCGTTCAAGATGCTGAAAATACAAAGTCGAGAATAAAAATTTATCACAACTTTGATTTTTTATTGTTAAAAGTTTTGCATATCAATGCATATTTGGCATATATTGGAGCATATTTCTTAATATCCTGTGCATATTTTTGTGAAAATACGTGCATATAATCCGAGCCTTATTTATTTGTATCAAAATTAGATTTTTTCATAAAACTAATGCACCAGAGACATTAGATAAATTAATAACTCCTTTCAAATCAACGATTTATATTAGAAAAAATCACCCATTGTTTTTAGTGTAAATAATAATAAATCCAAATATTTACAATTGGAATTATCACAATAAAAACCTATCTATCCACTTCAAGATCTGGATGAAATATGTGTCAATAATGTCGATGGTAGATGACGAATTCTTATTTAAAACTTGGGAATTTAGTAGCAGATGATGAATCATTTAGTGAGGTGAACTTACCTGAATTTTTAGATAAGAATCACTGACCAATTTCCAATCTTTTAACACGCATTCTTCGCAACTGAATCGATTTGTTATAGATATCCTGAGTCATCAATTCTAAATGGGTTTCACAAACGTGGATAACTTTATTATTTAATAAAATCGAGCGTTTTCTGCCCTCATTCGGAATTCGTGTTTAGTTAGAAAACTGTTGTTTTTTTGCAAATATTGCATAATTCACGTTGAAAATATGCATTACCTCATAACACTAATAGGTATTCCAAGAAGATTTAGAATTAAAATATAATACACACATTCCGGTTGCTGAATATTAAAAGACGTAAAAGGAAATCTTTAATTCATATGTCTATCTAACAGTGTAAAAAAAAACGTAATTTGTAAAAATTGAAAATAAAAACACAAAATTTGCGTCTCATCTGTTATTTTCTCTCTTTTATTTGTCTGTGATATTTGGTATTGTATTAATGCATCGCGACTGTTTTTTTTAACTATTTAACTGTCAATTTCACAAAATATATATATTTTTTTAAATAACAGTATTATACAGGATGCGCCAGAACTCGCGCCCCAGAAAAAAATGCCATGTAAGGTAAGATACCAGGAACATGGAAAAAAATCTATCTATAAAAATTTCAAAGTTATGAGAGTTTAAATTTTGCACTTTGACTCTATTTATTTCTGTTAAAAAAATAATTTTCCAAGTTTTTTTGCGACAGGCTATTGTGTCCTAAATTGTAACTCTGTTTAATATTTTTATTGGCAAAATTTTTGTACCTTTATTAAATAATTAGAAAAAAACATATACAAGATCTTCAGTATCATTAAATAGAGATAAAAAATGTCAAATGTCAAAAATTAAATGTCAAAATTTTTTGACAGATAGAATTTTTTAAACATTTTTTTCATGTTCCTGGTATCGTATTTTACTTGTAAATTTTCTCCGGGGAGCGAGTTCTGACACACCCTGTATAGTGTCCAAAAAAAACGTTGAAAGATTTTGAAAAATGTCCGGAAATGCTTCGCAAGGTTACTGAGATAATTGATAAAAGTTTTTGTTTTTAATCTTATCTCTAGTAATAAATTATGATATTATTTTATCACTAGTATTAAAAAGAAAACAAATAACAGTATTTACGACCTAGTATGATTTTGGAAAATTATTGAAATCACAGATTTTAAATTCGAATTTGATGCCAACCAAATTGGAAAAAACCTTATATAAAACACGATTCGAAATGACTGTTTTTTAGCACACGTCTAGTGAAAAACACGCTCACTTTGCAACATTTTTTTAGTAACATTTTTTAATTTTTGGTTGAGAAAAACGAAATTTAACTTTTATTTCTTTAATTTTTTTATTTCTATTGATTATTGTTTTTTTTTAATGCATTTTGAAAGAGTTTTTATTTTATGTTTTGATTTCCAAGTGTTACATTTTTCTTAGTATTTATTAGTTCATGTTATTTACTGATTTGTGTTATTTTATGCTGTCTTATGGTTTCACTTGTAATTTCCGTTAGAAAAAATATGGTTTTATGTTCCTGTTTTGTATATAAATATATATTTTTGCCTCTCTCTCAAAAAAATTGTAACGACGCCTATGTTAATAAATGTGTGTTTTTAAATTTTAAGAACAAGGAAGTAGGTGATACTAAATTAACACAAGTTGAATTTGAATTTTTGCATTAAAAATGAGATTTTATAATGGACTAACTTTCTTATGCAACAGGAGATATTTTCTACGTTTACGCCTCCAAGTTATCCGATGTCAAGGACACATGAGAGAATGCATTTTTGAAATAATTACCATCGAATTTATTTGTCTTGGTTCAAGAATATATCTTCATAAAAAAGGTTATTAACTCAAAAATTAAAAGTTATAATTAATAAGTACAGTGGCGGACACGGAATCTTGAACATCAAATTTATCTCAGTTAAAAAAATGTCAATACAAGCCACGCTTTATTGTCATTATGATTGACGTTTGAAAGTTTTAGTTGAAATTTATTTATTTCAATACGTGTTTTTACATAAGTTCAATAAATTATTTTGATTTGTTGTCATTTTTTCTTTGCTATCAGGATAAAAATTACAAAAACCAAAAAAGTGAGGTTAGTTGCCTAAAGCCCGTTTTACATTTTTATGTCAGTCAAATGTCAAATCGACCAAAATTTCGTGTCCGCCAACTATTGATAATAATTTGAGTTGATTAATTCACCATAAAACGTAAAAATATGTGTATTTTTAATTTAATTTTGTATACTAACTAAAACCATTTTTCTCTTATTCTTTGTTTATTCTTTTCTCTTATTATTCTCTTCAAAAGTGTAATTAAACAATTATGATTTGAAGAATAAAAAGTAAAAAAAAAAACAAATTTTTGGCTTCTTGATTTCCATCCCAGAAGCCCAAATATAAACCTTTTGTAATGCGTGGCAAAAACTATTTCGAGCATTGTAGGTATAGCATTTTGTCTCAAATGATGAATAAATATACAGTATGTTTTACGAAAAAACACATTTAGTGTTAGTTTCATTTAGAAAATTGTTGAAAAAGTTTACTCTTTAATTTCTGTTAGTGTTAGTGTATTTGTTTATTTACAATTTACATACCTAAAGTTTAACTCCAGCAGTGAAAACGAACACCTTAATAGCTTGTAAACACTTTAAAATTCATAATTATTTCTTTCATCAAGTAGTTTAGGACGTCTCGATTGTCATTTATTCACAACAAACACATCACACTCGGACTACACGCCTGCTAGATCTAAAAGTGAATTGTAAACAGAAAAACTTAGGTGCACGAACTTCGTGCTTGTTTTGTGTTCTACTACGAGACATACGCTCATTGTCATGTTACCATTCGGTAAGAAAGAGATAGAAACAGAAAGATAACGTTATTTGGCGTGATTTGTAACTCGCTCACAGAGGGCTCTATCACTCGGCTAACTATTATAGTTTCCTTTATAACAAGTTTAATGAAATAAAACACTTGAACAACTAATTTTCTAGTGTATTTCTTTATTATTGTGTTTTTAAAACGACTAATAATAATGGGGTGAAACACAGTAGCCGTAACTGCTCATTTAAGAAAAATTATTATTACAGTTTTCTACTTAAGTGACAAATGTGTCACAAAAATGTCACTAAATTCCCTAAAATTTTATTTGTCATATTAAGGGGTTAAAATGCGAAGGCGGTATTATTGTGATTATTGTGACAAATCTTTCATCGACGATTTAGATGCTCGAAAAAAGCACTTGCAAAGTTCATATCACATAAAATTAAGAAATTTGCACTATGAGCTTCACAGAGGTAAATATTTTGTGAAATAGTTTGTGATTCAATTAGTTTTTTTTTAGATCCTCGAACCATTTTGAAGGAAGAATGTGAAAAAACACCATGTAGGAGATTTCTAAGCAATGGTGTGTGCCAATTTTCAGGAATTTGTAAATACACACATTACACACCAGAGCAATTATGGGAAATTAAATTACGAGGTATTAAGTAACCTTACTGGTTTCTTTCTAGTTTTTTTTTTTTTTAGTTGATAGTGAAGAACAAGGTAAACAAATTAGAGTTCCCACAATGGAGTCATGGCTTCAAACCTACTCTGAAAAACATAGCAAGGAAAACACAGATCTCGTTCATATTCCTTGGTCTTATCCTGAACAGCTTGAACACAGAACAGACTTGCCTCCTTCCATAAAAAAACTAAAACCGGAGCATTTTGTACAGGAGAATTTTGAAGAATGGGGCAAATAGATGCTTTAATGTCTTGATGTTTTTCATTCCTAGAAAAAGGATGCAAATTCTTTGATTTGATCTACATACTTATTAATAGTATATTATTTAACAAGGGTGAAGTTTAAAAAACGAGTCATAGACGAGTGATTAATGCGAGTAGAATACTACGACTATTTACAAGTTCTAATACAAAATTTTAAAACAAAAAAACAAAAATTTAACAGATGTTTAGATGTTTTTTTATGTTTTTACAAGATTTCAACATTTTTTTTAATTTGTATATTACTAATAGGAAACAAATTGTTACTATAGGTTCCGCAGAAGTAAAAACAGGAAATATTACATCCGGTGTTCCGCAGGGTTCAATTTTGGGACCACTTCTATTTTTAACATACAGCGCAGAAATATCAGAATCGGTAAAATACGTTAATATCCTTGCTTTTGCAGATGATACAGAGTTGTATTATCATTTTGATCTTTATGATGTAAAACAAGCTTGCAATTTTATTAATCAAGATCTAAAATGAAATTTTCTTATTGTCTAAAAGCATTGGTTTGATTTTAAATTCGAGTAAATGTTCATCAATTTGCATTTCTACAAGAAATAAAAAAATCAACTCGGAAATTAATTTTATATTGTTTTAAAAATGTTATATTCCAATTATCACATTGAATTTTAAACTTCGAAAAAAACTATGCGAGTCATTGGTGCTTGATTTTTCATAATTTTTTTGTCAACTATATGTGGTTGAAAAATCATTTTATATAAAAACTCTTCATTTTCATATTTTTTTTGTCAATTGTATGTGGTTGAAAAATCATTTTATAAAAAAACTCCTCATGTAGTAATTTTCTTATAACCCCTGATGATGAAATAATAAATTTTCGAAACGTCGGCTATTTAAGGAAAAGTTTTTTTTTATTTGTCCTCAACTCGTGATCCACTATATAAACAAATGATGCAGGACGTTAACACAACTAACAATTTTTTGATTTTTACAAAATTTTCTTCAGTTTTTGGTACACGGAGCGGTCCACCGGAATTATTATCAGTAACTCTTGTGTTTGTTATTGGAAAGCAAATTTAATTTTCTATCTTAAAAAAATCTGGTGTGAACATCACACGACTTTCCTTATCCTACTTATTTGGAAAACATCTTTACGACAGTAAGGTTTGCCTTAGTGCCACCTGCCGAATTACACGTGAAATAGATCATAATTGTCGCGGATTCGAGTCTGAGGTACAATTTTTTTAGTTCGGTACCCATTATTATTTTTATTTTCTTACATTTTACTGTTTAATAAGGTGTATTTCATGATTCTAAATAATTTTTATTTGAATGAATTTATTGTATCTTCATACGTATAATTTTACGGCCGATTTTTTGACTTTGCGACCGATTTTTACCAATTGTTCCGTGCTGCGTCCCCTTCCTACAAGTAACTTACATAACAAATTTCAAGTTTTTAGCTTTTATCGTTCTCGAGATATGTTGTTTACAGACACACACACACACACAATTTGAGAAAATTGCTGGTAAAAATAAAAATAAGTACGATTGCTTTGACATTTTGGGACACAAATACACACAGCTCTTTCGTATATTTTAATAAAATAGATGAATAGAGAGAATTCAAAAATGGAGAAACTGTCAAGAAATTTGATCCGCAAACGTCACAAAAGTGACCACTTTTATGACTAATTGTCACAAGTAAAATTAATTAAAATTCCATTTTTAATTTATGAACAAAAGAAACCACTTTATTTTTAAAAATCTTTATTCAGTAAGCGGGTAAATTACACAAGATAATTAATAAAATAAAAAATCAAGTATCATATACTTTAAAACTACATTAGGTGTTTATCTACGACAAAAAACCATACTTCTTAATTACACTGTTAATACTATTCTGTCCTTTTAACCAACATCAAATAAACTTTGCACATAATTGTGTGGTATTACATTAGCATGCAACTTAATTTACCTTATCGATACGTAATTGCATCTATTGCATGTGTAGTAAAGAAAACTTTAATCATATTACAAATAGACACACCCTTCATTTTACTCCTGATAACTATCGAGAACTTTATTATATGCCAAGTTTATGACGTGGCTATACCAAGCCAAGTCCATTATTTTTTAAATACATTTAAACGCTGGATAATAATTTCACAGACCACGAATTTTGGTACACCTATACAGGGTGCGCCAGAACTCGCGGAACTTAAAAATACTACCTGTCAATAAATTTTGACATATTTTTTGACATTTGATATTTTTTGTCTATATAATAATTGTTTTAACATTTTTTCCAAGTTCTTGGTATGTATGGCATTTTTCTCTGGGTCGCGAGTTTCGGCGCACCTGTATAATTTATAAAATAATGGCCCTTTGGTAAGTACAAAGGACAAAACACTTTTTTTTTTTAAATAAAGTATTAAAAATCAAACTGTAGATGTTTCAAATCTAATACAACATATTTTGGTACAATATAGTGTTGAAATATCTACAGATTACCATATTATTACATCTAGTGGAATTTTTAAAACTCACGTACTCTATGAATATTTTAAAGCTCTGTGGGAGATCATCGTAGAAAGAATAATAGGTATTTTGTTATATTTTTCATTAAAAATTAACCCATGCTTTCAAATGCAGTTCAGGTTTATGCTAGCAACTTATGTTAAGACACATATTACACTTTTTTAAGCTTGACACAATGCATTTTATGTTAATTTTAAAATTGGGACAGCTTAAGGAATCGACGACGCAATGTTTGGCAGTTAATTATAAATTGGGCACAGATGGGGTTGACCCCTTAGATATGTGGTCAAAAAATGGGGAAATTCACAGTAAATGACACATTTTTAAATACAGGGGGTGTCAGAACTCACGCCCCAGAGAAAATTTCGAATAAGATACCAGGATCAACTGTCAAAAAATTTGACATTTATTTTATTATTTGTGTCTATTTAATTATACTCATAATTTTGCATCTTTTTATTATAATTATTTAGAAATGATGCAAAAATAAATAGAGTCACTCTCATAACTTCGAAATTTTTATAGATAGAATTTTTTTAACATTTTTCTCTGGGGCGCGAGTTTTGGCGCATCCTGTATGCATTCTTAAAATACAATATACATTGATTATAGTGTTATAGGCACTCAAATTTGAGACTTATAATTGCAATTATATTTAATTTTTTCAAATTGATCACTGAATTTGTAAATTTCACTTTTGCCAACGCAGTAATAAAAATTGAAACTGTCGAATTTTTTAAAAGAACAATTTGAAACAAATAATTTCCATATTAAAATTAAATTTTTAGTTTTTTTGTGAATACAAGATGAAGTATCTTAGATCTTCCGAACTAGAAAAAGTGACACATTTTCAAGTTATTTTTTTTTTTAGAGAGAATTATTTCAGTTGAACTTATTCTTAACATTTTATAATAGTTTTCTGTCGACATCGAAGATGGATTGATTGTGTTTGTTCATATTTCTAACTGAAATCTCACTTGTAATAATTAAAACCCTGAAATGCATTGGTTAATTATTAATTAGTTAATTATCGAGTTCTGAGGTATGTCACAAATCAAAGGTATTCTACAATGCAAGGAGAATTGTATTACTTCTAAAATACCTAATAAATATAATTTCCGTCGTCTTACGTGGTTTTAAATAACATTTGTCATAATAACGCTTCAAAATAGATAAATTTGTATAGTTTCAATTTCAACAAACACGAACAAATATATCAACGGTTGTGGTTCTCGTTTAGTTACTTGGTTCATTTTCATTTTCCTTACGAACCATGTGACCCCTGAACGAAGCTTGTATTTTCACAGCGGCTTTATTTAAGTCCGGGTCTGAAAGATCTATGTCTAGTTCTTCCTCCTGAAAAAACACACCAAAATATCAAGATGAAAATTTAAAAAAATGATCAATTTTCGCCCCAACTTCTCATTAACAAGGTGTCTTTCATAACCGGATTATGAAAAGGTAAATGTTGTTGCAGCGCCTTAAGTTATTCAAACATAATTAATGGATGTTTTGAAAAGTTTTCAAAGAAAAAGTGTTTTCGCGTAAAAAGTTTTACCTCATTTTTCTTGGGTTGGGAGGGATCTGTCTCATCTTCCTTTTTCTCCATTTGTTTTCTTATCATATGCCCTCTAAAAGAAGCCTGGATCTTCGTGGCGGCGTGACACAGTTCTAGAAGAGATAAAATAAATTTAAAATTAAAATTGGGTTTTAAGAATTGATATGAAATTGTTTTCCATTGATTTGACTACCCTTAAGTCGCGTTATCTTTAAAATTCTACATGTTTAGGGCTGTGTATGAACATCCCTCTTGTTTGGCCACATCCGAGTCGTTTATTGATTGTTTGTTGCCTCATTTTAGTTCACCTGGAGAACTCTCTCCATTCTAAATAAAGTCCGGGAATATTTAATAGGGAGCAAATTAAATGCACAGTTTATTATTTAAACAAGTATTTTTGATTAAGAAAAATAATAAATGCCCACTAAAAATAATAAATGCACAGTAAAATAATAAATGCACAATAATAATAATAAATGCACAATAATAATAATAAATGCACAATAATAATAATAAATGCACAGTAAAATAATAAATGCCCAGTGAAAATAAGAAATGCACAGTTGGAATAATAAATTCACAGTAAAATAATAAATGCACAGTAAAAATAATAAGTGCACAGTAAAATAATAAATGCACAGTAAAAATAATAAATGCACAGTAAAATAATAAATGCACAGTAAAATAATAAATGCACAGTAAAAATAATAAATGCACAGTAAAATAATAAATGCACAGTAAAATTACAAAGTGCACAGTAAAATAATAAATGCCCAGTAAAAATAATAAATGCACAGTAAAATAATAAATGCCCAGTAAAAATAATAAGTGCATAGTAAAATAATAAATGCCCAGTAAAAATCATAAATGCACAGTAAAATAATAAATGCACAGTAAAATAATGAATGCACAGTAAAAATAATAAATGCACAGTAAAATAATAAATGCACAGTAAAATAATAAATGCACAGTAAAATTACAAAGTGCACAGTAAAATAATAAATGCCTAGTAAAAATAATAAATGCACAGTAAAATAATAAATGCCCAGTAAAAATAATAAGTGCATAGTAAAATAATAAATGCCCAGTAAAAATCATAAGTGCATAGTAAAATAATAAATGCACAGTAAAATAATAAATGCCCAGTAAAAATAATAAATGCACAGTAAAATAATAAATGCCCAGTAAAAATAATAAATGCACAGTAAAAATAATAAATGCACAGTAAAATAATAAATGCACAGTAAAATTACAAAGTGCACAGTAAAATAATAAATGCACAGTAAAATAATAAATGCCCAGTAAAAATAATAAATGCACAGTAAAATAATAAATGCCCAGTAAAAATAATAAGTGCATAATAAAATAATAAATGCCCAGTAAAAATCATAAATGCACAGAAAAATAATAAATGCACAGTAAAATAATGAATGCACAGTAAAAATAATAAATGCACAGTAAAATAATAAACGCGCAGAAAAATAATAAATGCACAGTAAAATAATAAATGCACCACCCTCCAACAATAATGAATATTCAGTAATATAAAAATAAGTACCAATAATAAATAACATACTTGCGCAGGGGCCATACATTGTTATGTAACGAAGACTGAAAATTCTTTAAATTTTATGTTGTTTTACTAATTTTGATTAAAGTTACTGAGCGTTTATTATTTTTACTGTGCAGAATATTATATTATACTGATCATTTTTAATTTTTTACTGTGCAAAAATTGATTAAATACTGATTATTTATCATTTTATACTGACCAAAATTGAATTATTTACTGATCGCTTTATTACTACCCTATTTAGGTTCTTTAGTTTGATTCTGTGCAATTTTAACTGGGAGATCAATACAGAAAGTAGTTAAATTTCCAAGTTAATTAAGTGTTCAAGTGCGTTGTTTGCTAAAGAGCCAATTTACAGACACCTGTTACAAAATAATCATAAATCATGAAAATAGAACAATGCGAGTCTATTATTTCGAGTAGTAATAAGCAGCAAATGAGCATTTTAGGGCTTGATATTTTGGTCACAGGTGCTAAAAGTCAGAACTTTCTTACATTTCTTCCGAAATGAAAAGTTTCTAATCTTTTGGATTAAATAGAATTGCAAATCTCGCGAAAGCTCTTTGGGTTAAAGTAACGTTCTGTTTAATCCAATTTTCCGTTTTATTTCGTTCGAATTCTGAACATTTAAGCTTTGCATCCAATTTTGAATAATACTCCACTCGTGTTTGCTTATGAACTTGCAGGATTGGAGTCGTAATCGTCAGACTGAGTAAACAGAGAAGAGCTTGATTCTGGCCACTTGTGATAAAATATTTGCTAATTTGGTAATTTCAAAGATTGATTTCCCAAGTGTAGTTTTTTATGACTGTGAATTGTGTTGTTTTTTACTTTCCTTATCCTATGTGATAAAAGAAAAATAATAATTGGTACCGAACTAAAAAAAATTGCAAACGTTAGGTTTGTTATTGGGATTTCCAATACCGTAAGGATGTTTTCCAAATAAGGTGGATAAGGAAAGTCGTGTGATGTTCACACCAGACTTTTTGACTTAATGACCTTTGGCCGAAGCTTTTGCTTTAAAACACAGTTTTGTTCACGTAAAAATTTTGCTGAATAAGTGAGTTTTCACAGCGAAGGCTTTCTTAATTAAAATTTCTTTGTCATTAATAAGCGAAAATCAATAACTCTAGACTCTAACTTACTTGTTACAAATCTACAACATTTTTATCTCGGTTTCTTCTTCATTTACAATTAATTTTATTGAGAGAGTTTCAACTAAATCAATTTACGATTCTTCTCTTCTTCTCTTATTACAGTTTTGAATTAATTAATTCCGTTAATTACACCGTTGTATGTCGTCAAAGTTTGATTTGTTTTAATTTTTTTACTGGGTGTTTTTGTTAATAAAAATACCTAAAAATACACGAAATGCTCTTATAATGTATTCAAGATACTGGAATATGCACATTTTGTTTCCTGGCGTGACGCAGAAAATTAAGTTTTACATTGAGAATTATTTACACATTTAATTAATCAAAAAAGAATGATTAAGTTAATGACTAAAAATTTTATCAATAATCTACAAAGGATAAAAAAAGATTTTTTTCTATCCGGATTGAAAAATTTGTTACTACATATTTCAATTCTTAAAAAAAAATAATCCTGGCTTTAAAAACTGTCATTTTAATCGTAATAAAACAACGTACTTTTTTTCTACTTTTGTGCATATTATTGTTGGTTGGAGAAAAAATGGCATGTTTTATTCGACTTAAAAGTGAGTTTTTTGTGCATCCGCTCGGCTAAAAGCGCCGAAAAGTGGCACTTTTAATCCTAGTAAAACCGCTTTTATTCACTGAGCAAAATTATGGAACAATCTTATTTTGATTAGTATTTTGATTTAAGATTTTACACTTTTTGATTTTTGAATAATGAGAAATCAACTTAAATCAATGTATTTCAACAAAAAAAATACTTACATAACACCTTTCTTCAAAAATTAAGCAATTTGAGCTATTTTCAATCCAATGTTGATTGATTTTAACACAGTGCATTTTATAAAAATAATTGCTTAATTTTTTTAAATAGAAACCCCTATTTTTTGTTAGCCTTTTCGATAGATCTTTTAATTGT